TTTAAATCTGAGAACAGAAGAAACATCTTTCCACAAAGAGTGGTGGGAGCCTGGAACAAAATTGCCCCGCCATGTTATTAAAGCTGGTACTCTGGCTTCTCCAGAGACACATCTGGATCCGAAACCTTCAGTCGCTCAGTGACGAGCCCGATGGACCAAATGTCTCGTTTCCTAGCCTTTGTCACTAATTAATTCTATTCCATTTCAAGAAAATTATTGTCTGTAGTTGTATAGTTATTTTCATCCCCTGGGTGGAAATGCTGGAGGGATTCCAGCACACTTGACATACAGGAAGAGATCCACTTCATCCCCCACTGAAGTGCTGCCCCCACCCTTTGTTCCTGTTTCCAGTATTTAGGGTGCCATGTGCTTTGGGCACTTGGGTAGAGTTGGCATCACTGAGCGCCACTATTTCTTACGGATGCCAGTCATCAGCAGGTCAGCAACTGGATGCGTTTCATGTCATTGATGGCTTTCATGGCTGACAGTTACAAGATTAAGCAGCATTAAAGCTAAATATAGCATGTGAGGGAAGCAAGATCTGATTAGCAATTATTCACCAGCCGTCTTGCACGATTGTCAAGGACATTACTGAAGTGGCCATTTACTGTAGCTCTCAAAGCACGGTGACAACCACAAACAGCCACGCGTCTCGCAATGCGCCACAAGGCAAACACAGCTGTGAGACGCACAGGGTCTTTTATGTTCACGTCAACAGGATTTTGCAGCCGTCAATGAATTCAGGCTTCTATTCCTCAAGAGAACTGGCACCCCAGGAGCTCAAGCCTCTTAGTTTTATTTCTGCTTTCCCCTGGATGTGCGGCTTTTCTCTCCCACAGAGACAAGGTGAGGTTGGGTGTTGGTGCACTAGACCCGATCTCTCCCAGATCTAGTCAGCGGAGGGCTAGCTAGAGCTCGCAAGAGTCTAGAGTTTTCCTTTGACGTTAATCAGTGAAGACAGCCGAGATCATTTTTCTGCTGTGTTTCACAAATCGGATGGTGACGAGAGTGGAAACTCGCGGTGACCGAGGAGTATCTCGGAGTTTCTTTGCGAAACTGCGGAGCTCTGAGGGAGAGCTTTAATGTGAAGTGACAGATGAGTCTCTGAGTCTTCGAGATTCTTTACACTATCGTTCGGTTTTGGCAGATGACGGAATTTCTCTCCAGGATTCGGCAGATCTGACAGGGACGGCAGAGCTCATCTGAAGGGGTTTTGGAGACGGGCCGACTTTTGCTTTCGCTGTCGATGTGAGAGATGTATGGTAGCTGATGGCCTGTCGCACAGATCCAGGTGGCTGACGTCAGGGATGATCCTCAGATCTCTCCCTGTGACGAAAACCGAACTCTCACCTGAGGCAGACACTGACTTAAGCGTCTGTGTTGCAAGCAATCAAGATGTCTGAGCTCCGGGAGATGGTTAGAAGTCTAGAATTAGAAGAAACACATTGGCAAGCGCTTACATAATAAGGCTTTATGTTTGGGGATTTTGTAATTTCACCCCCCTGCCTATCTTTCCTTGCTCCTGCAGTGCTCATCAGAATCTGAGCTGTAGGACTTTGCAATGATGCTGTGTGATTAGGAGATGCTTACTGCTGGCGGCCTGGTGCCTTGTGTAAAGGAAGCCTCAATTAGGATCCTTTTTCCTCTGCTCTGATTTCTGTGGGTGTGCAGTATCACATGTGCACAGCTGGCCTTTTTTTTGTCTCCCGGCGTGTCTGTTTGCTCGCTCTGCATTTTCCAATAATGGTACAATGTGCAACAGGGTTTTTACCCAATTAGATCCCTGTTCTTGGGAAGGATCTCTTTCAGGGATACAGTCATGTTGTCTATTCCAGTCTTCCAACTACTCCAAGCAACTCATTCTATCATTTTTGTTTTTCTGAACAAATATGAGATCTGGCATTGCATACAAAAAAAGCTTGTCATCTTCATCTTCAAGCCAGAAGAGAGAAATCCAAACTGCATTCATATATTTTTTTAACTAAATTTGGAATATGGTGTTCACAATGAGTGGTGGGAGCCTGGAACAAGTTTCCCAGCCATGTTGCTGAAGCTGATACCCTGGCTTCTTTCGAGAACAGCTGGTTGAGATTGTCTAATTAGGACAGGAGGCACTTCTTTACACAAATGGTCGTGGGAGTGTGGAACAAGCTACCCAGGCACTTTGAAGCCAAAGCTGCTGATTGAGATGCTCAGATCAATTAACCCATCAAAATCAAATTGGCTGAATGGGCCAGATTGATCCTCTTATTTATCACCTTAGGTTCTTGAAAGCAGGGCTCTTGCAGGCTAATGCTCAAAGTTGAGTTGCCTGTTTTTGTACATATCCTGTTGCTGACTAGACCTCCTCTGAAAGGCTGATGAGCACCATACAAGTTGCTGAAAAATGTTTTGTTTTCTAATATGTACAGAACCCGAGGGCAGATGGTTGGAAAGTCCTGCCTGATCATGCCTGAAGTTGACAACATCCGATTATCACCCTGGTCCTTGGAAAGAAATGTAGTTATTAATTCCTGCGGAATGTGTCCTGCCACTCCTGCACTGATCAGGAACGTCAGTCTGCCAATCAGGTGCGGCCATATCACCCAATCCCCGTCTTAGCCGCAGAGTGTGGTCATGACTGGCCAGACTAATGGCTCACAGGTCAAGTCGCCAGGCCAACAGCTGGAGACCAGGCAGTCTTATCCAGATCAGGATCACATCAGAGGAAGCAGGCTTGCCGTGGCCAGACAGGGAAGAAGTCCAGGGGCAATATCTGAGAAGTGACCATGAGCCTCCACCCCTCTGTGCAGCAGAGATCCTCCGAGCTTGACTGCAGACTGCACAGTGATGCCCATCAATGTCAGTGCCCAGTGTTGACCAGTGCAGATAAGAAGCAGATTCGCAATCATCCACCCTTCCATTTTCTAATCTCTTCTTCTAGTTCAGGGTCACGGGAGAGCTGAAGCCTGTCGGGCCCAAGGGGGGGTACGCCCTGGATGGGATGTCAGGCCATTGTAAGGCAGACACACAGACGCAAACACCGGCACACTTGGCCCAGGGCCAGCTTTTCCAAAAGCCAATTAACCTGCACTATGGGAGGAAACACACAGGGAGAACATACAAACTCCACACAGATAGCACCCCAGGTGCACCCCATAACATTCCAGGGCCCCAGTGCTGCGAGGCAACAATACTAATCACTGCACCACTGTGCTGCCCGATTTGCAATGAAAACCTTCAAAACTGTGATATAGTTAAGGACAAAATGCAAGACAAGGAACTGAAATTGCAATGCAGGGATGAATCATAGACTCTAACCCATACTCAAAAAGGGAAACAAAAGCAATGCAGCTCAAAGTGAAGACAGAATGCAATGACAGAATAAAACCAATATAAAAAATACGAGCCCCGACATATGTCTGCGTCATGGGTGCACATTATCAAATTAAAACTACAGGTAAAACATTTCGGCGTGTAAAATGCTAAATTTCGGCAGTCAATATTGTTCGTACCATTTATGCATTCACAATACTATACTACCGGTAAACTGTATGTTTGGATGCACGTTTTAAACCTATTTTACATTTTAAGTTATTAAATAAGAGAAAGGGGAAATTTAACGCTCAACAGAATTAGTTTTACAAAATAAGAAACGCTAAACGCACATATTAGCAAATAGATATATATATATAACTCGTCTGATAAGCGAGTACGGGTAAGAGTTCGTTTAACAAGGGATGAGCGCACCCCTTTGTCGAACCGGACGAGGTGGCCGAGTGGTTAAGGCGATGGACTGCTAATCCATTGTGCTCTGCACGCGTGGGTTCGAATCCCATCCTCGTCGGATCGCTTTTACTGAAGAGTTCGTACTTTCGGTTAATACTAATAAAACCTGTCTGCTTAGTTGACATTACGCAATTAACCGCATTTGGAAAACGCTGTACGCTGATTTGTTCAGGTATGCATCTAACATGTTTGCAGCTAACGGCTCTTCTGGATATTCCGTTCAAATGGCAAACCGGTTACTAGGAGTTTCCCTTCAGGGTTGTAAAAAAGTCCTAATTAAGTTAGAAGTGAGATATACAGGATTTACTCTTTATCTTAAACCAGTGAATGAATGAAAGGAGTAAATTTACCGAACAGAGCGAATACACTTTTGCTCTGTAGATACGGTACTCTATCCAGTGGTTCTCAAAGGCTGACCTAATCAATTTCAATTCAAGATGCTTTATTGGCACGACCGATGAGTACAATCAGTTTTGCCAAAGCAAATAAAAATAAAATTAACATGAAACAAAGCAAAAACAAAATCGAATAACCATTCTTAAAAAGCAAGTCTACGCTGTTTAAGTCAGAGGAAAGGATATTGTAGTGTCCGCTACGAAGGGGCTCCCCCTAGGAGCACTGTTAAGAACTGCAAGCTGTAAATAGTAGAAGGAGGGACTTCTGTGCTGATTCTAGGTATCGGGGTTTCACGAGCCGTTAAGGGGACTGTGTGTGTCAGTAATGGGGCGAGCACCAGCCTAGACGTAGGCTTGGTTGGCTTGAGGGGCTGCAGACTGTACCCTTCTGGTGCCTTGGTGTTTTAATGAAGCTTGAGTTATCGCTTCAGTGTTTTTCTTTTATGCACCACGAATGAAACGATGTCACACACTGAAAACGAGACAGTTAGTTTGGCGGCGATGTCCTTGCCGCCCTGCAGCAATCTACTGTGGTTAGTGATGCCCGGATCGGCTTTCTTTTGACCCGCACCCGCCCGACCCGATTTAAAATGATACAGGTACTGACGAAGCCAGTCCGAACCCGCTCCATTAGAAATTACACCGAACAGTATTCGAGCACTCATCTGATCAACATTTATAGAAGCAGCATATCCAGATTCCTTGTTTTAAACGACTAAAGTAGCCCAGTCTTGAGACATTTCAAGTAGGGAGCTCCGTCAGCATGCGTAGGCTGCAAAGTACCAGGTAACGGGTTTATTCCATGCTGAAAAGAGAAGAAAGGAAACACAACCTTTCGGCTGTGGAGCCCTCTTCAGGTGTACAGTCTTGTGACTGTCATTTTTGTAAAGTGCTTCACAATCGATGCAGATAACCTGTGTTTTTTCCTTCTGTTGCGCTGACAAGCTCGCCAAACTTCTCCCACCTGGCTCTTTTGTCGCTCTCTCGTCTTTATTTGTATCTCACTGTTCTGGAGTTGTGTCCTGATCTGCTCTAACGAGGTTGCCATTATGTTTTTTTTCTTTGTAATACACTGTTGTCTGTTTTCTCCCGCTTTGCCTTGTGATACAACCAATTGGAGCTTAAATATGGAAAAAAAACGTCAGTTTTAAACCTTAAAATTACTAAACGTAAATCACTAAAATCACTTAAATTCATTTGTTAAGATACAAATGATCGGTTTTCTGCAATATTTTGCATTTGGTCATGCAGTATATCAACCCGCTCCCGCCCAACCCGAGTCAACCGGTGCATCACTAGTTGTCATGATTGCGTGGTTACGCTGTTTACTTCTTCATATGTGCGTGTGCCTCGCCCGTTGCCATTATTGTTCGTATCGTTTCGCTCTTACTTTTGAATATCTTACTTTGAGTTTGAAAGTTCAAGGTGTAATTTAAAGAAGCCGTCGAAGTAGATGGGTCATTATGGATCACTTGCTCAGATCTGGGAGTCTGAAAAGCAAATATAGTCACGACAGTGACAGCGCAGGTGCGAGTAAGAGACAGGACAGAAGTGAAAATGCGAGTGAGGTCATTTGTGTACCATACCAAGTGCTGTAACTCCAATTCCAACAGCTTGACAAATGTGATGTGCAAGGAAGCAGAAGGTGTGCTTGATGTGAAGTCTCCGTCTGCCTCCGGGCATGAGACTTGTCCAGCTTGGATCCAGATATCACTTCTCTGATTGCTCAACAAAAGCAGCTCCATTCTTCACATTAACTTTTAATGTAATAAAAACATTTGCAAAATATGCAGCTTTGTTTGTAAAAATATTAGTACTTTTCATCAAATTTGAATATTGGTTATTTTTAGTACATTGATAGGTGATTTGTACAGGGTAAGAATTGGATGTAGGCATAGGTGGTCCACCGCATCTGTGACTTGGTGTAAGTGGTCCGCGGACCATACACCTTTGAGAACGGTTCTGAAAAGGAGCGCTATTTTGAGTGCTTCTTCATTATCCTAATTTTACAGATATTCATGTCTGGAACAACGTCCAGAAGCCACCCACTCTCGACTGCGGACAATGTTGAATTTGCGAAAACAGTTTTTGTTGTTGTTGTCATGCTGTTTACGACATCTTCCAAATATAACGTGATTTTTTTCGTTCAATAATCCAAAGGAGTCGTTTCTAGAATTAACCTTATTATTATAGCGTTGCTGTTCTACAGATCTGACAACGAAGTGTTAATCTGACACTGACTTGGACACGGTCGACTGAGTCTGCGGTCTTCGGTGGTTTATTTTCGCAGCTTTGTCAACTGCGAAACGAGGCTGAACTAGCGGATGCGATAGGTTCACTTGCCTTCCGATGTTCCGGTGCTCTGCAGCGCCGATGAAAGCGCTGTGTTGGGTAGGAGGAAGTGGGTATGGCTGCTCAATGTGACTATTGATGTCTCGGCTAGACTGAAATACTTTATGTTTCCCTGGCGCACACGGTGGTTGAAGCGACTCCACTTTGAACGCGACCAGCTTCTTCATTTTATTTCAGTCCCACGGGGCTGGTCGCGGAGCTCCACAGACTGTGGCTCTCGTTGACGTCAGTGCGCTACCCAAGCCTTCGAGAGCCACTGTGGAAAACGCCTCCGCTTGTCAGCGCAGGGAAATAGGAGAGGGATACCGAAGGAGCTGACAGCGGAACAGTAAACAAAGACTGAAGTCGGACTCTGCGGCGAATGCAGCCGGCTTGCTGTAGCCTTCCCAGATCCTAATGTGCGCTCCCCTCCCACTGTCTGCCACTTGTCCGAGATGCGCCCCGCGTCCAGCGGTGCACTGGCCCGCTCGCAGGACAGCATCCCCCGACTGCCATGGCGTTCAGACGGACAGCGAGGTAGGTAGGCAAGCGGGCTCCGGCAGTGGCGAGACAGCGCCGGGGAAGGCTGCCGCCGTTCGCCGCTCTTGCGATGTGCGGTGATATGGTGCGGTTTTATCTGTTCGCGTTTCGCAACGTTGTCAGAATCTGATCGCACCTGGCAAGGCTGCTAACAAAACAAACAGTCCCGGAGACAGCGGGGTGGGTTTGTTATATGTCTGGTAGGGGGTACCGGTTTAGTGTTGGAGGTGCCATTACAAAACAATACGCTGACACCTGAAGAAGGCTCCACGGCCGAAACGTTGTGTTCTCTTTCTTATTTTTTCAGCATGGAATAAACCTATTACTTGTTCCATTACAAAACAACGCGTGTTTATGACACCTTGGTATTCAAATGCTGCGCAATCCTGTCATCATAAAAAGACAATAGCTGGCTATTATTAGCGTACAACAAAAACAAAGATAGTGGAATCGTTAGCGTTTAGTACCGGTAAGGGGATGGTTCTGTCTGAAAGAGCGGTTCAGCTGGAGCAGTCCTTATGCGTGTTTTATGAAAATGAGGCTCGTAAGTGTTCCGCATGGTGATTGCATCGTATTTCAAAGCAGGGCAACGCATAGTTTTATTAGAATTAATGTAAAGCAAGATATTCAGACTAAAAAGCGCTCGACGAGGATGGGATTCGAACCCACGCGTGCAGAGCACAATGGATTAGCAGTCCATCGCCTTAACCACTCGGCCACCTCGTCTGCTGACGATTTGGTGGGTGGACAGGTGTAGAAACTACTTAAAGGTGGTTTGCAACAGCGTATTCTTCGGAAAACCAGAAATGTATCAAAGTATTTTTGCTGTTACTACAGGTTTGCTGTAGATGTAGTTTAAAGAATACATTAACTGCAGCAACATTGAAACATGTTCAGAATTGCAGTGCTAATGTTTCAGCAGTGCCTGTCGTAACGGATGATCGGGGCTTCTCTCCACTTGAACATGCCCTTGTACCGGCGGCTGCTGTTTCAAATGCCACATTGTGGCGTTCCTGTTTGAGCACGAATGCGAAGGGCGCAGATCTCCTAAGGGGTAAATCTGAACACAAGCAGTCTTGTCAACACAGGTGTTGAGAACAGCGGACTAGTAACCGCAGTCTGTTTATAGAGACCAGTAATGTAGCTCGCTGCCGCGACTGTGTTCGCATTTTACCCGCGATGTCTTTCGGAAGCTGCTGAGATCAAAGATAGGGGAAAATCTGCTGTCTGCTGCTTCTGAATGTCCTCTCTCATACGTGTAGACCACAGTTTCCTGACAGCCGTATTAGCAGTGTTGTGGTGATAATAAATCCTGCTTTGCGTGCTTCAGCTGCTGTCAAAGTCAGTACTATAGTCTACCATGGTGTAATTTCTAATACAATTCCTAAAGCAAATGCAGGCAAAGAAAAATGTACGTGTGATTTTGTCGAACACTAACTTGTGCTAGGCACGCTTACAGTTCCGTGAAAAAGTATTCACACCCTTTCAGATTCTCAGAGTTTGGCATATTTACGCCACCGAATGTTACCACACTCGATAAAAATGCACTTAAACTGTGATTTTCATAAGTCCAGAACAGGCTGGAGTGTCGGGCTGTGCTCCTGGCTCCCTGCCAGGACGCTGTCTGCACCGGGACCCAGGCGGAGGGACGCTAACCCTGCCTCTCTCTGTCCCAGGAGGATGCGCTGGCTGGGGTGCTGTCGCCTGGGTCTGCTGTGGAAAGCGCTGGTCCTCTTCGTGGCCATCGGTTTTGCCGGACAGCTGCTGGGAGTCAATAAGAGGTGCTGATGAATTAGGACTGCTTGCTTCACAGTCCGTGATTTATTCAGGAAGAGTAGCACAAAACTGGGAATTTGTCAGAAATCAATTTCTGTGTGATACTGGAGTGATGCAGTGGAATCATTCAAAATTATTATTATTATTATTATTATTATTGAATGATCCCACCACTATTGTTGCTATTATTGTTTTATTCATGTTGATATTTCAATACTGAACCAGTTCAGTAAAGGCCCTTCTAAAGAAGAAAGTGTTGAGCCCAGATATGAAAGAGCTCAGGGAAGGTGACTCTCTCTAGATGTTAGGGATAGAGCTCCAGAGCTTTGGGGTAGAAAAGGCTTTGTGACACAAGCCTGTACATGGACAGGCTTGGAGGACAAACCAGGAGACCAGAATCAGAAGAGCAAAGGTTGCGAGGTGAGGAGTAAGACAAGGGTAAGTCAGTGAGCAGAGGGTATTTTAAGTCGACAGGAAACCTGACAGGAAGCCGGTGCCTGATTGACTTCGGGATAGGAGTCATGATCACGTTTAGGTGACCTGGTCAGGATTCTGGCTGTCGAATTCTGGACATACTGAAGCTTGTCCAGGGCGGATTTAGATACCCCAGCCAGTTGGGCTTCACAGTAATCGATTGACAACATTATGCTGTGCCCGTACGTCTGTGTCTGTGCCCTTCTCTTGGAATCCTGGGATTGATCTCTTCTTCTTCTCCCAACCACAGTCTGCAGCTAGAGCGCCCGGCTCCGTTTTCAGCTGGCGACCCCAGGCACCCCCTTAGGCTTCTAGCAGACGCCAGCGCCCCCTGCAGGCCGCACACCCACGTCATGTTCCTGAAGACCCACAAGACGGCCAGCAGCACGGTGCTCAACATGCTGTACCGCTTCGGCGAGGAGAGGGGGCTGCGCTTCGCCCTGCCCCTGGGGTACCAGTTCGGCTACCCGTTGCGCTTCAGTGCCCACAGGGTGAAGGGCTACAGGGGGCCTGGGGCAGTGGAGTTCAGCATCATGGGAAACCACATGCGCTTCAACAAGAAGGAGGCAAGTAGTGACAGTGGTGTCTGCTGCCGGGCACGATCATGGCAGTCAGCTCTGGCCTGACCCCAAGTGGCCAGAGGACCACACTGCACTGCAGCAGTACTGGCTCACAGTAAGGGCCAATTCCTAACAAAAAGCACACCACTAGCGCGTTCAAAGGGAATTTTTCTCACCCCAGGATTCCATATTATAAATCCATAAGACTACCCAGTTTTCAATATACATGTCAGGACTCCTGTTGCATTTCATAATCATTCAAATTATTTCACCAATGATCAGAGCTGCCCTGGGGAGGGAAGGGGCAGATTATGGGGCAAATCATTGTGAGCAGTGCCTCTCACCCCTTCTCCCCAGCCCCCCTCCCTATCACAGGACAGCCCCCTCCATCCCTTCTGCCCATGAGAGAACGGTTACGCTGAACATTAAGGGCCTTATATTTTAGACCATAAAGCCTTCACATTGCCTTTGTAGGTGGATACTACTAAGGTAGATTACAATTAGACTAATGTTTGTGATAGTGGTTTGAAATGAAGATGTAATACGAAAATCACTATCAAGCCCATAAACTCAGGAGGTTTTACTTCCGTTTGTTTTCTTGAAGTCAGCAAGTTAATAGCCTTAGTTTTGTCTGTACTCTTTATAGAACAGCAAAAACATTTCCAAGCGATACCGAGATCGGCCAACATCTTTACAGTTTCGCCTCACAGAGTGTTATAAATGAACAGATGGCCTTCAGATGGCCTTCAGGTGAGGGGGATTGAGCTAGCCTTCCACCTGGTTCACTGGTGTTCAGTCAGGGGATCTGGGATTTTTGCACCAGTCAGGGAATTTGACTGAATTGGGTCTCATTTAAAGATGCTAACACACCACTGTTTCCTGAGCTGTACTTGGGGTGTGTTATGTTTTTGACCTAAACTGCATAACACAGTCATTATGTTGTTACTGGCTGGTCAGAACTATTAGTTTGTTTTTTAGTTCATACCTAGAGTCCCTTCATAAATAATCATGAAGGTAGGAAGCGACACTGTAACCCTCTAGAGTTCAGCAGGAGCTCTGGGCCCCAGAAATTTAAGAGTAACTCTGAGAAAACAGGCAAATCCATCTGCAATTGAAGGGTCTCGGCAGCCCAGAGCTGATCCCAAAAGCGCAGGCAGGACCACAGCCTGGATGGGATGCCTGTCTTCTGGGAGCAGAGAAACGCTGTTCAAACTCCTTTCGTTTTTGAAGAAAGTCTTTAAAGCACATCACATGGTGCAGAACTGCAGTCCCCGCTAATGACTATGTCACTTCTTTTCCGCAGAGATGTAAAGTTTAGTTTCTTTGATGCTTGGAACTCTGTACTTTAATTAATGTGGTTCTGTTAATGAAGGGGGTCCCTAAAAGAAATGAGCACTGTGCTGCAGTGCAGAGCATTGACGTTGATTCCCATTGATTCCCTTTCCTCCTCCACTATGCCCACAGGTCGAGAAGGTGATGCCCCCCGACACCTTCTACTTCTCCATCCTGCGGGACCCTGCCCTCCTGGCCGAGTCCTCCTACACCTACTACAAGGCAGTAGCTCCAGCCTTCCGGCGGGCAAAAGGGCTGGCGGACTTTATCGACGACCCCTGGCGCCACTATGACCCGCGGCTGCGGAACAACCACTACGCCCGAAACCTGCTGTGGTTCGACTTCGGCCTGCCGCATGACGCCAACTTCACCGCTGAGCTGGCGCGGGCCGGGGAGGCGGAGGTGCGCCGCAGCTTCCAGCTGGTGCTGCTGGCCGAGCACTTCGACCAGTCCATGGTGCTGCTGCGGCACGCCCTCTGCTGGCCGCTGGACGCCGTCGTCTCCTTCAGCCTGAACGCCCGGCAGCAGAGGGCGGGCTCGAGTGTCCGGCCGGCGCTGTCTGAAAAGCAGAGGCAGAAGCTCCGCGAGTGGAACGCCCTGGACTGGCACCTCTACCGCGCCTTCAACCAGACCTTCTGGGCCCAGGTGGAGCGTTTCGGCAGGGAGCGCATGGACCGCGAAGTGGGGGCGCTGAGGTCCCGGCGGGAGGAGCTGGCCCAGCTCTGCCTGCGGGACGGGGGGCAGCCCGTAGAAGCCAGCCGCATCCAGGACAAGGCCATCCGGCCCTTCCAAAGCGGACTGGTCAAGATCCTGGGCTATGAGCTGCAACCGGGCCTGGTCAACCTCACGCGCGACTTCTGCCTCCGGTTGGTGCGCCCCGAAATCCAGTACAAGGACGTGCTGGATTCCAAACAGTTCCCAAGGCCTCCGGGTCCAGCGGCAACCCCGAAGAAACAATCCCCCAAATTTGAGAAAGGGGGAGATCGACAGGATCTCCAGATCAGGGAGCAGAAGATCAACCAGACAGCAGAGACAGGGAAAGGAGGGAACCTTCTAAGATAGCTAAAGCCTGCCCACTGCCCCAGCAGGTGACCTGGTTACTACATGACTGAGGAATTCACAGACACATGCGGGAGGCCGAGTATCCCTGCGTTCTCTCTTCATGGATCAGAGTCTGGAGATACAAGACTGGGGGACCAGGGATGGGCACACTTAAGAAATCCCAGGGGCCACCTGTAACTCTTCTGCCCCCAGCAGACGGTCCATTGACTCACCTTTGGCCTATCCCCAGCTCTTGAAGGAAAGGGGAGTGGGGTGCCCATCAGAACCTGTTCTCCCCTGTCCCTGCTGACCTTGGTACGCGGGTACAGAAGGCAAGGATGTTCACAGCTCAGGCTGGCATGATGATGCCTCGATGCCCAGCTGAACTCTCATCAGGATAATTTCTGATGTGCTGTGCTGTGCCGTTGTTGGCTTAGCTTCCTGTAGCTTGAGATTGTCCCGTATTATGTTTGCAGTCAGGCGATCTGCACGTTTGCCTGTACTTTAGGAACCAGCGGCCGCCAGCATCGTCAGTAGGCGTGCTGTGTTTAGAACCTGCCCCTTGTGTGATGTAAGCACTCAATGAGTATGCTCAGAAGAAACCCTTGTGCCCTCACCCCTGATATCTCCTCCCTGCTCAGGCTACTGAGGATCACACCTTGACCACAGTGGCTTAAATTATCTATTTATTTTTTTATTGCAGCTATTTATCTCCTTTTATAGACAAGAGCGTCTTTTTTTTAAGGAACCTCCAAAACGGTCTCTGTGACAAAGGGAAAATCCCACTATGGGGGAACTCTGAGGCAATTGTGCTGCACAGCTGTCATATATGCAGAGGCGCACAAAAGCACAATGTCACAGAACCATTTGAACAGCAAGCTCTCGCACACAGTGATGTGATCAGAGTGTCACTTGACACAACAGAAACAGGAGAAGTACACACACACAGAATAACGTGATCATGCACACACACAAAGTGACTGGTCTGTCACACCGCAAAATGAACAGGAAACACCCAACATTACAGCAAGCCCATGGGATTGGGACAGACAGCACCACCTGCTGGTGGAATAACTCCATCTTCAACACTCCTGTCCCAGCTCTGGCTGTGTGCACTCAGACCTGCTCGGTCTTAAAGATTTGACCACTTTAAGCTCCACTGTCTTCTTATTACGGAAATGGACTTTAAAGCTTAGGCAATCAATAATCAAAAAGCCAAGGAACAAATGCTCCAAGAACAGAGGGCTGGTCAGATTTGCAGGATGCTCCAGTCCTCTGTAGCATAGTAAACACAAATCGCTGGGGCCGGACTGGCTCAGTATTCCCTCCTGTGAGGGTGAAAAGGAAGGATTATTCTGTCAATACCAAGGAGCTGCTGTGCTCACAGGATCCCCACCGCTCTCCAAAACCCTGGAAAATTGAAAACAAAATTGGCATAAATGGAAAAAGTGTCACAGAAAGTGGAACTATCTTGAAAAGCCCCAGCAGATACCAAAACATGCGTTTGTGTTTTATATGCATTAACAGATCAACACGCGGGCACCGCAGACTGTACATATAGATCTGGAAACCTCATTTTATCTAAAACGTTGACAGGCCTTAAACATGGGACTCTCGCAACCAAAAACAGGCCACAAGATCAGCATAACTATTGGGAGTTTTGCTCTCCAAAGTGAAAGTGTGCTCAGCATCCTCCAAAAGTCTCAGCAGCAGGGGAAATGTGCTAAACGTGCACCTTGAAAAAGCTTTTAATTGTGTTTTTCTTCCCATTTGAATATAGTGTTCAACAGCTGTGTTACCACCTTCTCATCTGACCTCTAAGGAAAACCAGGCTACTGCTGTAAGTGGTGTTTGTGGGCCTGTAGGTGACGCTCTTCTCACTGGACCAGGATTTCCAGATCAACGGGAATGGGGACACGGAGCTGTATGGAGACACGAAGCTCATGGCTGCTTGGTTGTTTGTCAGAATAGGATTGTGAACCCCAGTGTCCTGGTAAATCCCATTCTGGGGTACACAGTCTGGCCTCCCTAAAGTTTTCAATCCCTGGATCCGCAGGGCAGTGGGGCTTCTGTGTGTCACCCGGGTTTTAGGAAAAGAAAAATAACTGAGGATTACAAGTTGTTTTTGCTTAAAGAAAAACACAACTGCCCAAGCATGCTGATACCAGCCCCGTTCTGCAACACAGCACCCTCATTATGCAGCAGTGTTTTAAGAAAGAGGAAACCGTGATCAGGGGAAGTGCTGACACTACTGCCTGTGACTCAGTCTCCAGCCCGCACAGAGATCTATGGGACGTGACATGTTTTCTATAATGCTACACAAGCCAGGCCAGTGTGGTATTCAGGTTTCCTTCACACCCACCTGCAAAGTTGACCTGAATATCTTCTTTTCTGCTCCAAAATAACCTTTTTTTTCTTGGCATGCCTTAACAAGCTGCTAAGGAAAAGTACCGTAGTTCCTGGCCCTGATAGTGATGTGTAAGCAATGGGAGATTTCCACGATCGTTTCACCTTTTTCCAGTAAGTTTTAGCATAGACGTATTCCCAATCTGGTCCCCTTTTCAAAGTACTGGAATCCCTGATCTGGTCATTCTTATTCCAAGAGATGAGGTGCTGATCTGGTCACTCCTAATAATAATGATTCCTTACACTTATATAGTGCTTTTCTGGACACTTCACTCAAATTGCTTATTTTTACAATAATGGGGACTCCCCTCCACCACCACCAGTGTTCAGCCTCACCTTGATAATGCAACAGAAGCCACAGTGCGCCTGTATGCTCAACACACACCAGCTCTTAGTGGGGAGGAGAACAGAGTGATGAAGCCAGTTCATAGATGGGAATTATTAGGAGGCCATGATTGGTAAAGGCCAAGGGGAAATTTGGCCAGGATGGTGGGATAACACCCCTACTCTTTTCAAGAAACACCCTGGGACTTTGAATGACCACAGAGAGTCAGGCCCTTGGTTTTATGTCTTTTTACACTCCCCATCACTATACTGGGGCATTAGAACCCACACAGACTGCAGGGTGAGCACCTCCTACTGGCCCCACTAACACCTCTTCCAGCAGCAACCTCAGTGTTTCCCAGGAGGTCTCCCATCCAGGTGCTGACCAGGCTCACACCTGCTGAGCTTCAGTGGGCTGTCATTTGTAAGTTGCAGGGTAACTGCTGGCAAACTCCTATTCCAGCTACTGTAATCCAAAATCTGATCACCCCTTGGTGATTGGCAATGATCTGGTCACTCCTATTAAAGGTACTGGAATCCCTGACTCGATCACCCCCTTCCAAGTGCAGAGGCATTGATCTGATCACTCTTATTCCTGGAGCTGAGGTAGTGACTTCCTCACTCCTGTTCCAAGTGCTGAGGCACTGATTTGATCACTATAATTCCAGGAGCTGAGGTACTGACTTGGTCACTCGTGTTCCAAGTGCTGAACCACTGATGCTGGGTCACGTCTTTATCCAAGCTCTGGCGAGGTGTCTTGCTCTTCCTGAGTTAACATCAAACAAGGAACCTTGGATCCTCTAGACTAGAGGCCCAACTGTCTCTTTTAGGAAGTCAGCTGATACCTGTTGAAGACTGTAGTCTACTGCATTTGCAACAGAGACACAGAGGGTTAGCAGTAACCCCTATACAGTTCCTCAGAGACCTGCGATGAGATCTAGAAATACTAAATCCCTTTTTTATCATTTGGATGCTGTACATATATTGTACAAGACCAATACATTGCTTTAAATAGAACCTCAGCTCCTTAGAATTTTGGGCACCTAAATTGACCCGTAGAATTTATCAGCCTAGTGTTCACAAGGAGAATGTCGAAACTGCATAGAGATTACAAATTTCCATGAGAAACTCACCTAAAAGTAATATATAATGCAGTAGTTCTAAAAATGAATATAGTTATGTTTAGTGATGGCAGCAAGACATCACAAAATGTTCATTGTATTCTACTTTATTTCAGTATTCAAATGCCAGATACTTATTTGCATTTTGCTTGTAAATGGAAAAAGGCTTTGGCAAATCCTACAAGTTAGTTTTGTTGCCAAGCAGGGAATATCTGTAACATAAAGCAGGAAAACCTCTCAGTGCAGATCTGCATTGTAACGGAGCAGGACGGATGTCTGGAACAGATGTCAGCTGTATTCTTGGAGGGAGAAAAGCTGGGCAAAACCACAAGCCACTGAAACCCACAAGACACCCCAAAAAGTTGTTGTTTTACTGTTTTACTGTTGTTTACCAGTCTGCACATTGGGCAAGACCCCCCCACCCCAGTGGTGAAGTCTGGAATGAGTCAAACTGTGATCACTAGCCGTATAATTAACCACGGCGCCTCCGACCCAAATTGTTTTTACCGTATTCATTCCGGATGGCTGAGTTCTGGTTAAAAATCATCGCCAGTTTCCCCTTTTCCAAAATCAGACAATCCAACAGATTCTCCTAAAGCGTTGGCCAAGACTCGCTCACTAGAAACCACGTCGCCCAGGGAGCATGACGTTGGGGAATCTTTTGACAAAGATGTTGCTTACCACAGTAGAAAAAAAGCTCAGTGAAATTAAACAAGAAAGGCTGTATTTAAGACTGCTCCCCCCCTCCCTGATCCCCAGCCCTGCCTCCAGTGTTACAGTCTTGAGATTGTTGCGTTTGAAAATCCAAGTTGTCACAAAATGTTTGGAATTTGAAGCCCCATTGGAAAGTACAGGAAACTGGCATCCCTGCAGAGCATGCTGGGAAGGTCAGCTTTACAACAGCTTTGTGTTTCTCCTCAGGTTTTTGGGGGTTTTCTTAAAGAAATGTGGGGGTCTTCATTCTGGGCTGAAGCAACATTTTTCAGGAGTGGTTTAAAAGATAATCAGTTAATCTGGGGACAGTTGTGTGTCCCTCCTGAACAAGTTGTGGAAAGAAGTCCCACATGTCAACTGAGGTGAATAAGTTCTGTCATGCGAACACATTCCACTTTGATGTTTTTGTTTTCTTCTCTCATGTGGGAATGTAAAAAAAGTGACGCAACTTTGCTTCAATTCCATACACAAGCACATTCAGAATTTGCCCTGGAGGACAAGTGGGTGTGTTGAGGCTGTTTTGGGGCTGTGAAGTATTTTGTGTAGTTTTGGGCGACAGCAGGAAGGGTTCTCTACTTTAAAAAAGCACAGTCTCACAGAACTTCTGAGTCTGAACAGTTTGACACATCTGTGCTACAGCAGCCTGAGAGGTCTGTGATCTCAAGTAGCTGAATCCCACTGTCATGTGTCCAGCTGCGCGTAAGGTCTGGGAAATTCTGTAACCATACCTCTCATAATACTGTTCAGTCTTCTGTTTCTGAGTGTGCCAGATACCACTTGCTTAATACTTAGTAGATTTCTCTTATGACTTTCCTGTTTCCATATGTAAGGGGGTGGTAGATGGAGTCAAGATGGCAGATCTTGTCTGAACTACATTCCCCAGAGAGCACAGAGGAATGACCTGCCATCCTCATCCACCGGACCTATTGGAGAGGGATTTTGTGATGTTACCTTCACATCTGGAAATATTTATTGGTGTTCTGATGACTGACAGACTGCTGGGTTGTGGACGTCATGTCCCTGAGCTGATGTCCCCTGGAGTTTCAGACACAGTAATAACCCTTAGACACACACTGGCCAAAACTTTTGGAACTCTCCAGTCAAATGGCAATATAAGGTCATGTACCAGTGTACCCACTCTTTAATAACAAGCACTTCGTCAAGCAAGACAGAGCCTCTTTGTTTACAAAACTATCCCAAAAAGAAAATGTTTTGATCAGCGCCACTGGTGTGCCTTAAGGATGTGACACTCCAACACAGAGCTTTAACTGCTGCTAGAGACTGTGTATCTCTTGTTGTCTGTATGTGTGTTTGCATTTGTCAATCCCTGTGTTTTACAACACCAATGAGGAGTATGTTCATGACTGGGGTTGTGGGTTTAATGGCTGTGTTGGGAGTAAGATGTTGGCTATATATTTCTTGTGGGATCTCAGACAAGCAGTCAGTCATGAGGCACATTGGTGACAATGGTCATCTCATAAGGTACTTCTCGGTATACATTTGCCCACCAGCATTTCACGTTATTGATCGGTGGCTCTGACCTTATCTTTTTGTTCTTTTCTAAAGATAAGTGCTGCCACTTAGTGGGGATAGGTGGGTGGAAAATCTCTTTTGTTTTTCTCCAGGACGGTGGAGTGCAGTTGTGCACTGCCCTTTCCTGTGCCGTAGGTGTTCACTTCACTCCAGATCAGCGGTCTGTCGCCCCCTGGCGTATAACGTGGGAACTGCCAGCCCAGCATAGCGGCAGGTAGAGCTGGGAGGGATTCCGCAGCCTTGGTCGTGGAGATCCCGAGTCCTCCGGTCTCCCGACCAGCCGAACTCCGATTGATACAATTCTATTAATCAATTACTTTGTGAGATTCTGAGAGGTTACAATGCTCGATGGCAATTCAAGGCTGCGTTCCTGATGAACTGTTGCGTTCCTGATGAAGGGGCCAGTGATCTCTTTATCTGTCCGTCCAGATGTGCACGTAGGCAGGGCTCAAATGGAATTTCTTGGCTATAATCTTTCAAGTGTATCGCATTTAATATTTGGGGCCACTTGAAATGCTGATGATATTGATATCGGGTGACCGATAAGTGTATTTATTCCCAGACATGTCCTCCTTTTTGGGGATCTTAATTGTCCGTCCAGGAGGAATTTTCTAATATTTTAGAACAATCTGGATTTTCCCCCTATTGTTTTACCCCAAGGATTATCAGTGTGAATGGCTGTAGGGATGAAGAGGGTGTTGATTGTTCAAGAAAGAGAGATAGTATGTTGATTATAGTCGTGTGCTTGTCTAGTTCGCCACCCCCGGTCAGTTTCCATTCTGAGCAGGTACTGATTTTCCACAGCCACCACCCCTGGCTCAGCCACAGCACCAACCCTTGCTGTGTTATACTGTATATGTCATATAGAAACGTTAGGTTTATTAAATAGCATGTTGTATTGCATTAATACAACACACTTCAGAAGAAACTGGTAAAACTACCAGTGGCTGGTGCCGTGGTTAACATTATTGCTGGGGTCCTGGGTTCAGTTCCTGTGGTGCTATCTGTGTGGAGTTTGCATGTTCTCCCTTTATTTGTGTGGGTTTCCTCTGAGTGTTCTGGTTTCCTTCCACAGTCCAAAGACACACTGGGAGGTTAATTGGCTTCTGGGAAAACTGGCCTTAGTGCGAGTGACAGTGAGTTTGCGAGTCCGGCTCTCCCACGACGCTGTTCTGAATAAACCCGTGAGAAAATGAATGGACAGTTTAAATTACCCTCTCCCCACTCTTGACGGGAGTACCCTCTGTTTTGAATGTTTAAATACGGTAACCCAAACTCAGAGCAAGTGTGGGGCGTGAGTTTTTTTTTGTGTCTTTTTACTTGAAAATTTCATTATGCGGGTGGCGAACTTGAGTGCTAGTGTATTTCCTGTTTTTTTAATTATTATTACCACTGTACAGAGCTGAAATAAATGGAACTTTGTAGTAAAGGAAGGCTGGTGTCTGTCATGTGTCACTGTTGCACGTATCCAGGCTGCAGCTGCTGTAGCAGACCAGCTGCTGCTCAACTGCTGTCCTGAAGGCTTTCTAGGTCACTTACTGAGAGCAAGAAAAAGGCTCCACTTATGTCCAATTACAAACTTTTGAGCTCAATTGAGGTGAGGGGAAAACTGATGCTGGAGTTGTGCGTCTTTGGACCAGACTAGAGGTGTGGCGATCCTTTACCAGAGAGCTGCCTACCTGCAAGTCTGAGAGGGAGCCCTGAGGTGGCTTTGACTGGGAGCCTGGAGAACACCACACCCTGACCGTCACCGGGGGTCTTGTTTTCAAGTTCAAGTTCAAGTTTATTGTCATTACACTCATATACATGGTATATGGTATGAATAGCAGTATTCCCGCACCGTTAATGTTAAAACAATAGACCAAACGCACGCAGAGGGAGAAAAACCGGGAACTGGATCAGGTACAACTGGAATTAGAAAAGAGGATACCATCTCCACACCGCAGGACAGGAGCCCCGGGGTGGTGACGTCAGCGCTGACAGCAGGCTCGGGCCTTGGAGCGCGTGGTTGTGCCGGGGGTTGCTACTGCTGGCAAAAGGTTCGAATCTCACCGCGCACCTTCCATTGACACATTTTATTCCTTGTTCTCAGAAATTACAAATCTCGTTTTCGAAACGAGGAATTCTTATTCTGCCGCCTCAGGAATATCGCCAGACTATGTCCTATGTTGTCACTAACTGTAGCTGAAAAGCTGGCCAACACTGTTGTTTTCTCTTGAATTGATTACTGTAACACCCTACTTGCTGGGGTACCTAAATCCACACTAAACAAAGTTCAGAATGTCCAGATCTCGGCAGCCAGAATCCTGACCCTCTCTTGTGCAAGTGATCCCATTACTCCTATCCTGGAGTCTTTGCACTGGCTTCCTGTCAGGTTTCGTATTGACTTAAAAATCCTCATGCTCACCGATAAGGCTCTGCATGGCTTGGCGCCTCAGTACCTGTTGGACTTACTATCTTCCTAGTCCTCACCTCACAGCCTCCATATATCTCATTCTCCTATTTGTCCTCCAAGCCTGTCTACGCTGTCTAATCTAAAATTAGCAGTAGTGGTAGCTGGATAAATGTCACAAAGAAACAATATGGCTCGTAGCTATTTACTTTATATTAGCCGATCACCGATAACATAGATCCAGCTTAAATTGGAACCAGGAATGGCACACGGTGACAAATTTCCAAAGAAATTGCAAAGGTGAACGCTTTTGCAGTGCATACTTCGTAAACAGATTATTATATTACATTCAAATGTCTGCCTTTTACGTATTGTGATATTTGTAATGCAGATTAAGATTTATCCATTCCGAGAAAGGTGCGCTTCGTGTATTGTGGTTTAAACTAAAAATATCTAGTTTTTACGTTCATGTTTTAATTACAGATCGCTCCCTAGAGGTAAGCATTAACAAGGTTATTAACAAGACACATTAGATTTGAGTTTTGCGTGCAGATCGCCCCGTAGGCAGAGAAGAAATAAAATTATTATAGCGATGTTGGTTCCGCAGGTCGCTGCAAGAACCGCATGACTGCACTAAAATGCCATTCAACCATCTGCTTTTGCACCAAGCGCTCGGTCCAAACCGAGACTTGAAAGGTTGGAAAAGGAGGGAAAGAGGTTTCAATATTTATGGCCACAGTGAGAGGTGATAGAGAGGATGACGAACTGCGGGCTGTGTGAGTATTGAGGGCTTAGGTTCCGTAGCGAACGTTTGACTCAAATGCGAACCGAATTTGAATCTCGGTTTGCATAGGAGGCGCCGACCCGCACGACTACAAGGGCAGATTTCCATATGAGGAGGAGGGGCCGGGGTCACAGCACTCATCTGGAGGACTAATACTGAACTTCCCAACCGGGAAAAATACTCTGCAACACAATGTACATGTAGATACTGGTATATATCAGTTCAGGCGGGTAGTTGCGTCAGCATGCGTAGGCTGCAAAGAAACAAGAAATAGGTTTATTCCATGCTGTAAGGGGAAGAAAGAAAACACAACGTTTCGGCGGCCGGAATTCCAGGTTTAGAGGAATGTCCTACCTAAACCGGTAGACTAGAGCCGTGGCTCTTAACCGGGGCGCGTGTGCCCCCTGGCGGCGCGACACGGGCCAGATTATTTCAGAAAGTAAATCGTCTAAAACGACAGACACATAAACACAACTACTTGGTTTCAGCAGACCAAGGCATTTTAAAGGAAACTTTAATAACGTGTAATTCCTCATGTAATCGTGTGTAATTACTGTGAAATTTAAATAATTCATTGTATCTTTTTCATTCTATAGTTAATATATATTTTAGGTTTAAAGAACTGACCTACGTCAACGATTTTTTGATCAGGGGTGCGAGAACAGATTTGGAGAACCAACAGGGTGCCTGTAGGCTAAGAATCACTGAAGCAAAGGAACTAATTATCTTTAGTTCAGAACAGGAAAGTCCATGAGGTGACCTGATTGCAGTGCTTAAAATCTGCAAAGGTATTGAAAAAAAGTCAAGCCAGCCCAGTGAAACAATGAAACAAAAACCAGAGGTCACTCAAGTGTATGTCAAACTGAGAACAGGAAGCACTCTCTACTCAAAGGGTGGTGGGAGTGGAGAACAAGCTGCCCTTTAAAGTAGTTGAAGCTGATACCCTGGCTTCCGTCAAGGGCTGGATGGGGTCCTCGGATCGATTATCTACTTACCACCAAACGGGCAAGACTGGCCAAAAGGCCTCCTTTTACATGTTACCTTTCACGTGTTGAGAGTAGGAAATTGGGTCACGAGGTGGAATTCTCGAGGATGGATTGCTTTCCCCTGGCTTTCTTCTACCGCAGCCTAGTGCGTGCGACGCGCGGCGCTCGGCTACTGCGCCTGTGTGTGTTTTTTGGGTGAATGTGTCAAATCGGGGCGTTTGTGCTGTTCCGCAATGACAGTGCTCATGGATTGCGGCAAAGGGCTGCAGAAAACCTTCGTTAAAAAGGAGATAAAAATATAGGAATCACATTGCATTGAATTTACTGGAGGGAAATGGTTTTAATGATGGAATCCCAGTGCGAGTATTTCATGTATTTCCCTGCCGTGCCTATTTCAGACTTATCGGACCCGGCGAGGTACCGCTCTTTGCCCCGCCGGAGTCACCTCTACCTCGGCGAGACGGTGCGCTTCCTGCTGGTGCTGCGCTGCCGGGACGCGGCGGGGAGCGGCGGTGACGGATCCGCGGCGGACTCGCCCAGCAGCAGGGCTTGGAGGGAACTGGCCGGCTCGCTGTGCGCGGTGGCTAGTGTGAGCCCCGGCGAGGGCAGGCAGCGATCCCAGCCGCATCACGACTACCACAGCAGCGGGGACGAAGGGGCGGCGGAGGCCGAGGAGGAGGACCCTGCGCCGGGCAGGACGGACGCGCGGTGCCGGGGGTTCCGGGACTGCAAGCCGCTGCTCATTCACAACAACACCGGCAGCGGCGGGAGGGAGTACCGGCGGGCGCCCTTGCAGGTGAAGGCAGCGAAACATATCAAGATCGCAGCTCCAAATAAATGTTGAATTGGCGATTAAACCTTACTTGTATTGAGATAGGTGCTATTAAATGTTAGTATTTGCTTTGCAAACTAGGAAGTTTGCGTTTCCTGTTTGTGCAACTGACGTGTACAGCACCGTGCAGGTTACATTAAATGTGCCCGGTCTATCCGCACATTAAAAAGGAGAAGATTTCGGTTTCTTCGGAGGGGATGGAAAATTCCTATGCAGTGCGATTTGCACTGGGAAGCCCTTTTCAAAAGCATCTCTCGCTAATTGACTGACTAATTGCAGAATCTCCCTCCGTGGCAGCTGCTGTCACCGTTTCAGACGGCGATCGGTGGCGCCGCGTCACCGGACAGCCTCGAGCCCAGATGGCCCCGTTAGCTTTGATAACCGGCTGTTTTAGGACCCCGTTGGCCCAGCCACCCGAAACCGGTACAGTCCCGAACCGCTGCGTCACGCAGCAGCTTGTGGTTGGAGTGTCACTCTCTAAACGCGTCTTCATCGGTAATTGTAGAGTCATGTTGCTAGACGCTTGTTTTACGCTTCGTATTAATTGTACAGGCGGCAGTAGCGCTACCAGGGCGATTTCTGCTTTGGGGCGGGCAGTAGGGGCTCTCCACTGCATCGGGTGAACGGCCAGGGCGCCAGGAGCAGCCTGGGCCAGACCCCGAGTCTGCTTTGGCTTCTGAGTTCACACTGGTTGACCCCCCCAGGCGTGAGTAACGGTGTCAGGCCCGCCTGTGGCAAAGCTCTCTCTGCCCCTTTGCCCTGTGCTGACCGGGAGTTCTCACCGCAGAGCAGTGTGGCAGTGTGAGCCCAGGCTGGGATTTCTCAGCGTCCCGGCCGGGCCTCCTCGCGTAGCCCACCGCAGGGCTGCTCTGATTGCAGGGAGCGGTTCCTGGGTGGATCGGTTTCCCAGCCCAGCCTGAGCCCTCCGCCCTGCCTCGGCTCCTCTCTGAGCCCCGCGGCGCCCAGCGGGCCAGTCTCAGCTTGCTCGGGGGGCCGGATGTTGAAATCCGCACGCTCTGCAGACAGCTGCTCAGGTGGCGCCCTGTGTTTGCCCAGCGAGACGTGACTGAAGTCTTCCAGTTCCTTATTTGTTTTCCCCTGAGTTCAGATATAATCTGTGGAGAGGTGAGCACATACACAAGTGATCGGGCTCTGCTTTCACGCTCTGGATACGCATACAACAGAAGGCGCTATCAAAGTCAGTCCTGGGCACCTGAGCACGAACCAGGGGACACAAGAGGGGAAAAAAGGGGGAGCATATTTAAAACTGAGAGCAGGAAGCACTTCTGTACACAAAGGGTGGTGGGGGCGTGGAACATGCCCAGCCATGCTGTTGAAGCCAGTATCCTAGTATCCTCAAGAATCTTTGGATTAGATCTTCGAATCAGGACAGGAAGCACTTCTTCACAGAAGATGCTGTAGGAGTGTAGAATACACTGCCCAGTCCAAAGTCCCACCCCCTTACTGCACTGTAGCCCCCCAGAGCTCACATTTCTCATCATCACCTGGTGATGCCCAGGACAGAAGTGGATTGCGTTTATAACCAGAAACAGGAGGCACTGCTTTACGCAAAGGGTGGCGGGAGTGTGGAACAAGCTGATCAGACGTGTTGTTGAAACCGATACCCTGGCTGCATGCAAGAATCCCCTACATGAGCTCGTGGGTTAAATTAGTTACTAACAACCAAATGGGCTGGATGGGCCAGATGGCTTTCTCTTGTCTGTTACCGGTCTTACGTCTTTAAAACTGAGTAGGGCCTGTTTGCAAGAGAGAAAGCAGAAGTGGGGAGAGGAGAACAAAAAAGGTGCTCCTGTCCCTTCCCCTTTCCAAATAACCACTAATTGCTCTGCAAGCAGGGCAGCCTGGTGGGGCATGGGTTCGTATTGCTGCTTCGCAGTGCTGGGGTCCTGGGTTCAGTTTCAGAGCTGGGGGTGCTATTTGTGTGGCTGTGTCAAAGTTGAAGGGCATTCAGAGGTAATAGATCAGGTTCTGAGCACTGACAGTTTCCTTATGTTCTCCACTACTGTTTTTTTCCACTATTTAAACAACTTTGAACTTTATAAATCAATCTTAGTTTGGCGACAAGACTCCCTGAAGCTTGTCATTAAGCATCTTCAATTCCCGCTGATCGGAATCCATGAAGATTTAACCACAGCTGCCCAAGATAAGTCATCCACAAATGAATAATCCGTCGCTTTTAATCAATTAAACATCAGTGACAGCGGGGGTTCCTCTCTACACACCAGTAATCCCAGAGTTAAAAGGTCGTTATTTGTTTACCAAAGTATAGCAAAATCTTTCAGGGTTGGCCGTTAGTGTGAAATTGAGCGGCTCCAATGTCAGGAGAAGATTCACCACGGAATTTCGTTTCTGAAAGTAGAAAAAACACAGAATGACTGAAAAGAGTAGAAAAATGCTAAATGTCTTGAGACTTGTGCTCTTCAGTGTATTGATTGCTAGTTTCAGCTAACAGGACTGCGGGCCCACCTCGAGGGGTGTATCCGCTCCTGCTCTCGCAGGCCAGCCCTAAACGTGTCCCCAGACGCTTTGCGAGATGTGAGGGAATTTGTATACGCTCCCCTACCGGCGGGAAGAGAAGGGAGAAGGGCGAGGTGTCGTGAGCGTCATGTGGGCTGTAGCAGAGCACCGTAGAGCCAAAGACGTGAGAGCCAGAGAAAGCTGTGAAAATATCGTGCAGAGATATCGCTTTTCATCTTTATTGGGCTTTTCTTGTGTAATAATCAGAACAGAAAATATCATTCACCCTCCCCTTGGACGCATATTTAGGCGTTGTGGTGTCAGGATCGCAACGAGAGGATCCGCTTAATCGGGTCAGAACTCGGCAGCCCAGATTATCAGAAACAACAAACGACGCCCTGCTGCTGATCCACATTTCTGTTGCGTGACATGATCGGAATCTTGCGCGTGACTTGGGAAGGTTTTAAGGGGAAAAGGGATCAAATCAGCCCTTTGACTTGGAAAAAATTCCCAGGCTTTTGTGTAATTAAAAACCACGGGAGCACACGGATCCTATGTGTACCTATGTGCTTAAGAAGTGATGTCAGCACTATTGATGGTGACTCAGATCCTGCTTAACTCACTCCAGCAGAATCCTGGCTTCTTCCACGCCTTTATTTAATCGATTTAAATCCCCTTGTGAAAAATACGGCAACTCTATGCCTTAAAGCACACGTAGAAATTATTTTGGTTTTTACACTGTGCACTCTTTCGATCCTGGATAACAATTTCAACATCTTGCACGGGCAGCTTGTTCCACACTCCCACCACCTTTTGTGCAAAGAAGGGCCTCCTGCTCTCAGTTTTAACTGCACTTATCCTTATTTTCCACTTGTGCATCTTGGTTCATATTTCACTGCTGACCCTGAGCAGTTGCCCAGGATTGACTTTGACTGTGCCTTTTATTTTATTTTATTTTTTTCCAGAATGTTAATGCAGCACCTGTCCTCGTGTGAGCACGCTCACCTTTGTTTAAAATATTTGGACTTGGGAGATAGCTTGTATTTTGTCTACAGCTTTCCAGTTGTACAAAGAGCCCTGCACACTTTCACCCCTATTATAACCTGAGTGCAAACAGTAGCTAGGGTGAGACATCTCTCTATAAACTACTGAACGGAATACTGTTGGGTCTCAAATCTTCATTTTGGAGAGCTCCATTCCAACCTTCCTTACAGTACACCTGTAAATCACAGATTTGTAAGATTAGGAGCGCCTGTAAATCCTTAAGATCCGAAAGGATTTCTGATTTTTGTTCCATCCATCCCTTTTGTTCCATCCATCCCTTTTGTTACCACTTTATCCCATTCATGGTCGCGGGAGAGCCAGAGTCTATCCCAGCAAGCAAAGGAGCAAGGCAGGGTACATCCTGGATGGGCCGCCCGTCAGTCTCGGGACACACACAGACGCACTCGCACAAGGGCCATTTTTCCCAGAAGCCGGTTATGCTACTAGCATGTCTTTAGACTGCGGAAGGAAAACAGAGCACCCGGAGAAGACCCACGGGAACGGGAAGACAACATGCAAACTCCACGCAGATAGCACGCCAGGAATTGAACCCAGGGTCTCAGTGCCGCGAGGTAGCAATGCCTCCATGCCACCCGTTTGTGTTCCAGTGATTTTGAAATGATTGAATTCAACATCTCAGCGGTTCAGCTGCTTGCATATTTAAGCGGTGCCACACGTTTAGCATGTAACAATTTAGAAATGACCAATAAAAGCAGCTGGATTGTGGCTCTGCAGGACCAGGCTGGAGGTCCCGATAGATACAGGGTTTTTTTTGGCCCTCACAGTGGAGCTTTGCAGAAGGTTTGAAGCTGGAAGGTTCAGGCTCATCAGTGTGTTCTGAGTAAATTTGCACAGGGAAATGGGGAGCGTTTCTGTAGCGCAGGCTCACAGCTCCCTGCTTGCAGACACCAGTGTGCTGTCTGTCTGTTTCCTCTGGCTCTCTGCCAGGGTGCGTGTGTGCGTATTCGCCAGTGCAGCGGGGTGGGGGGGAGGGGGCAAAGTGGTTGTGAACATTACCGTACCACCGGCTGTTCAGATGTCTGGGCTGGAAAGAACAGGCACTCGTGGCGTCTCGGCGGCTGTCTCTCTGAAGTGAAATGCTTTAATTGGGACACTTACCAGCACCAGCGCGGTTTTGAAGATCTTGTGCATTCTGCTGTTCATTCTTAACAGTTTAAAGTTGTGTATGCAGTGCAGCTCTTGTGTACGACATTAGTTTTGTTTTGCTGTATATAGTAGCAAAAAGTGTACCTGCTGTCTACTTTCCATGAAAAGGACTCTGAAGGGGGAGACTTGTGGTGCAGTGCTTGGCAACGCTGTGCAGTCGATGGGCTGTACGCAAGCCAGTGGCCCTGTCTGCAAGGAGCAGCATGTTAAAGCCTCACTCTGTCTGTGTTTGTGTGCGGCAGTCTCCTCTGGACGAGCCGGTGGTGCTCAGCGATGAGGTCATCTTCCCTCTGACCGTGTCCCTGGACAAGCTGCCGGTCAGCACTCTCAAGGTCAAGGTGAGGTCAGAGCCATGTTGGGGGAGGACAGGGGGGTCATCTGGTGCATTTGGATGAGTGCTCTATGCTGAAGCTGTGCGCATCGATGAAGTGTATTAATCCAGTGTATCGGGCATACAGATTGTGCTGAGTGGGTCACGGGTCATTAATGTGTGCTAATCCAGTGTGTTCAGGGTGTGTTGTTCCACTGTGCTGGTGTGTTCAGGGTGTGATAATCCAGAGTGTCCAGCACGTGTTATTCTAGTGTACTGGTGTGTTGAGGGTGGGACAATCCAGAGTGTCCAGTGTGTCTTGTTCCAGTGTCCTGGTGTGTTCAGGGTATGACAATCCAGAGTGTCCAGCGTGTGTTATTCCAGTGCGCTGCTGTGCTTAGGGTGTGTTAATCCAGCGTCTGGCTGCAGGTCATCGTGACGGTGTGGAAGCAGGAAGTAGAGAAGGCAGAGGTCCAGGAACACGGCTATCTGACCATCCTGCAGCACCGCAGCCCTGCCCACATTTTCCGGGACGACCTGAACACCTTCAAAGCGCAGGGTGGGCCAGTCATGCATACTTGTATTTAACTCATAGTAACGGATGATGTTCAGGTTAAATAGAGAGCTTTGTTAATGCCATCGCCTTTCATCTGCAGTGTCTGTTACAGGTGCTCTGTAACTGTGTAATTGTTCATGCTGACCTTTGCTCTTTGACCTCCTCCAGTGAGCACAACCCTGACGGTCCTCCCACCCCCCTCAGTGAAGTGCCAGCAGATGACAGTCTCTGGGAAACACCTCACCATGCTGAAAGGTAGGGGCAGCTCTGAGCATATAGTGGTTACTGCTCTACTGCTGCCTGTGTCCGAGTGTCTTAACACCTCACTGATGAGCATGAAAGACACTATGTTTTCTGCCTTCCTTTCATTATAGCATTTGACACAGTGTCCAGTGAGTATGTATTAACCCCCCTCTCTCTCAGTGTAGTGTGAATGGACTGTAGGGTCCAGTCAGTGTGTCTGTATTGACCTCTCTCTCAGTGCAGTGTTAATGTACTGTAGTGTCCAGTGTGTCTGTATTAACCCCTCTCTCTCTCAGTGCAGTGTTAATGTACTGTAGTGTCCAGTGTGTCTGTATTAACCAATCTCTCAGTGCAGTGTTAATGGACTGTAGTGTCCAGTATATCTTATATCATTAACCCTTCTCTCTCGCTGAGAGCACTGTTAATAGACTGTGATATCCAGTGTGGGGTATCCACTGTATTAACTCTCTCTCCCCCTCTGCCTCAGTCCTCAATGCATCCTCTCAGGAAGAGGTCTGTATTCGTGATGTCAGGATCCTGCCCAACTTCAACGCTTCCTACCTTCCCATGATGCCCGATGGCTCGGTGCTCCTCGTTGACAACGTCTGGTCAGTCTCTGTGTCCATATTTCTTTTCACATCAGTCAGTGTATCTCTTACTTCAGTGAGTGTAGGCAGGAGTGAGGCTGGCTGGCGTTAGGCTGTATGGTCTGGCGCTCACGTCTGAGGGGCCAGTAGGGGGCACTGTGCAGCCCTAAAAGATCTCGGCTCCGTTCTCTGATTCAGACTGGCAGGGTGGCTTTGGAGTCAGTCCGGGAGGAGGGTCCCATTTGGGAATGGGGGAAGTAGAGTAGTAAAGGTTTTTGGGGAGAAACAGTGATGACGCTACCTTGATTTCTGCTTTTGCAATCTGTTTTGTTCCAGGGTAAATAAGTCAAAAACCTGATCACAAAATAAGTGTTCTGTATGCAGTCCCCATTCAGTATGGTCTTGTCCCTCTGAAAGGAAATACCTGGCCCCTCACCATTTCTCAGTGCGAGTATGACGAGCCGCACGGAGAAACGGAGATCAAGCCGTCCAGCCACGATCAGGAAGCCTCTCTTTCCTGGTCAGGGCCACAGTAACCACAGAGCAAAAACACAGAGACACCAGTCCATCACAGGGCACAACGGCACATGCAATTTAGAAACTGCAATTGACCTAGTTGTATGTCTTTGGGATGTGGAAGCATCCAGAGTAAATTCCACAGAAACTATGGGAGAACATGCCAACTCCACACATAAGGTTCCCTTGGTCCTAAATCAGACCCAGGATCCAATCATCTCTGTGCCGCCCATGGTTAAATCAATTATGTTTTAGAACAGAGAACTTGTCACACTGCGTAGTGGAGTAAGTTAGCATTACTTTTCTCAGAAGTAGTTTATTTCTATTGAGTGCTAACTACCACATACAACTTTGCACAGGTATGCGGAATATGTCTCTAATGCAGTAATATAGTGTTAGTTCTTCGTCTTAATCCTTGGTCCACGGTCAGAGGGTTCCCCAGCAGGGTTTAAACTGAGTTCAGGAAGGTCCTATGAGGGCTAGCCAGAGGTTTAGCTAGATAACAGAGAGCTGACTGTGTGTACAGTGTTAATTTCCCCAGGCTATCTGGTCCATTTTGTTTGAATTGGATTATCGTATCCCATGCAGCCACCAATCAGGTGAGGTTACCATGGCATCATTCTACAGAATGGACAGCCTCTCCTGCCGCCTACCCAGCATGCTGAGCGCCCTGGAGGAGCACAACTTTCTGTTTCAGCTACAGGTCAATGAGCAGTTACAGGAAGATACCAAAGAGGTGAGACCACTACCCAGCTGGATGGAGGGCAGGAACAATTTAAACAGTTAGTAAATAACAGTGTCTCTGTGTGTCTCAGGGTCTGGAGGGGACAGAGTGTCAGTAACAGTGTATGTGTGTCTCAGGGTCTGGAGTGGACAGTGTGTCAATAACGATGTCTCTGTGTGTCTCAGGGTCTAGAGCGGACAGGGTGTCAGTAACGGTATCTGTGTGTCTCGGGGTCTGGAGGGGACAGGGTGTCAGTAAGGGTGTCTCTGTGTGTCTC